AAACCCCAAACCCCTAAAGCCCTATAAACCCTAAACCCTACCCGACGCAAGAGGCTGGTACTAGCGACTCCAAGGTCTTCTACTTGAAGATGAAAGGACCGCAGAGCTGCAGGTTTGAGGGTACGTTAGGGCTTTTTTGCTAGAGTTTACGGTTTACGGTTTAGGGTACTTTAGGATTTTGTTCTACAAGGGTTTGGGGTTTAGGGTTTGGGGGTGCTTTAGGGTTTCTTAATCTGGTTTCCAACTTTTTGGTGTTTATTGTATGGCTCCCAAGACCTCCAGAGAAGGTCCTCCGATCTCTTCTGGGGATCGTTGGGGCCTAGGCTTCTGAACTTACGGGCCTCTGGGCTTGGGGCTCTTGGTATAGGGTTTTTAGGCTTGTTTTTGGGGGTCTAGGAGCGTCGATTTCAGGAGACTACCATCGGTACCTCGCCGAGTTTGCCACGGGCGAGATGCACAGCAAGTGTGCCCAGGAGGCTGCGATGCTGGGTTCTAGTCCAGGAGCTTACTTTAAGTTACCAGCTTTCAGGAAGCCATATTTTTCTATAGACCCTCGTATTATGGCAGATTAAGTATCTTCTTAACGAGAACCGGGATCGCACAGCCCCGGCCCTCAACCCGCCCGAACCCATCAGCCCTCGGCGAAAGTCTACGCCCACAGCCAAAAACACTACCTCCCGAACCCTGAACCCCCACAAATTATCAAGCCCAAAGCCCGAAGCCAAAACGTTGAGCGCTGCAAGCCCGAAAACCACAAACAGCCAACCTCTAAACCCGAAACCCCCAGTCCCCTAGCCCCCAAAACTTCGAATCTCAACGCCCTCACTCCACCAACTTTATTAAGCAACAAATCACCTCTAACATATACAGCTACATGCCTCCGAACACCAAAAGCCTGAACCCCGCAAGCGCAAAGTCCAAGCCGTAAACCAAGCCCCCAAAGCATTCAACCCTTGTTTTCAGAGGCCCGAACACCCCAAACCCCGAAAGCCCAACAAGCCCCACAAACTCCACACCCCTAAGCCAGTCCAAGCCGTAAACCAAACTCCTAAACCTAAACTCCAAAGCCCCATAAAAACCCAGAGCCCCAAACACTACTGTAAGACCCTGAACCCTACACCCCCAAACCCCTAAACTCTAAACCCTAAAAACCCCAGAAGCCTAAAACCCTCATGCCCTTCCTTTCCAGAGGCCCACGACGCTTACCAGAGCTCCTCCGAAGCGGCGATTTCGGACCTTCCTCCCACGCACCCGGTGCCTTCGTGAAGAGTTGGGGTTTATCGTTTCGGGTTTGTTTTTTTTGTTGGTTTCGGGTTTAGTGTTCCGAGTTTCGGGTTTGGGTTTTTTCGGGTTTCGGGTTTAGGCGTTTGTGGTTTCGGTTTGTAGGGTTGAGCCGCGAGGGACATCCTAAACTCCAAGCTCCTAGAACCCTTAAGCACGAAGCTCTCAGCAGCATAAGCTTTGAATTCCCGAGTTCCTTCAACCCTAAGCCCCCGTGAGCTAGTTAGCCAGTGCTTGTATTTGGGGCTTTGTATGGAAAGCTCCTTCCGAGTATCGGTGAGTGTATACCGGGGGTGCCATTATGGGAATACCAGAAAATACTTGTGTCATTACGGGAGTAACAGTAACAAAACACCAAATTTCATCAAAGCCTAGAGGCCCTAAAAAGGAAAAGCCCGAAAGCCCTGAAACCCACAAGACCCTCCTCAAAGTACCCAAACCGCTACCCTTAAGTCCCGGCCGGAAGCCCATGGCCACTGCTCCAGGTGCGCTTAGGCCTTGCCCTGAACTTCTCCGTCTTCTACTACGAGGTCTTCTCGTCCCCAGAGCCTCGGTTGAAGGGGTTTCGGGCTGCAGGACTTCAAGGGTTTAGGGTGGTCTAGGGACGACGACGGTTATTCATTCGTTCATTAAACTCGTTGTCCACTTTTAACCCTAAGCCGCCCAAGACGAGAGTTCCAGGGTTTCGGATGCCCCTCACACGAAAAGAGGGCGCCATTGAAGAAGTAGAAGTCTCTGCACACCAACCTAGCACTTCTTCCCAAAACCTTCCAAACTTTATGAAGAGCAAGTCCCAAAGCCCGAACACAAGACCCCAAAGGCCCTCGACTCAAAGGTGAAGGCAATAAAACCCCACCCTAGGCTCTAAACCCTGTAAACCCCAAAACAACCTATACCTAAGGCACTACACCCATGACCCCAAGCTTTCACCCGAAATGGGAGGAGGATCCCTATTACCGTCAGCATTCTAAATAACGTGTGCCTAGTTTCATGTTTATCCAGTTCTGAATCAAAAGCGGAAAACACAGACCTGTAAACCCAAAACCGTTACAAAACCCTTGCGAGCCTGCCACATTCCCTCAGCACGCCAAATTTCTGCACTCACAGGGCACTGAACCCCATAAGTTCAGTATCCCCAGCCCTAAACCCTATACCCTAGCCCCCCAAGGCTTGGAATGACAAGGCCACATAAACCCACAAAGACGCTGTAAAACACGTGTCACTTGCGTGAGAGTTTGATTCCAAGGAAAAGGCCTGCCTTCTCGCGAAAGCTGCCTTCGACGATGCCATGGCCGTCATGGACAGCCTGCTTGCTTAAATCTCGCGGGTTCGCTAAACATGGTTTAAGGGGTTTAGGGGCTTAGAGTTTAGGGTTCAGGGATCAAGGTTTAAGGTTTAGCGATCAAGGTTTAGGTTGAGGATTTCGGGTCGGGAGGACAGATGTTTCGACACATTGGGCCATTCGTCTGGAGTGAGCCCTCTTGCGAAGCAGCGGAGTGCCCGGAACATCAGATTACATGGCCTTGCCAGCGGAGTATTTTGTAAATCGTCTTCGAAGTTGCACTTGGAAGTTCCAGGGGAGTAGCAGAACAGCCCTGGTTCTTCTACGGGTGGAAGGGTGATGTGGTTACCGAAATCCAAAAGTGGGGTCGAACTTGAAATTGTTATGTCTTGGAGATTGTGCTTTGCAAGTTGGGCTTTAGGGCTTGTGGCGCAGAGCCCTCCGACTTGAACGACCTTTCTCCTCCATGGATGATCTTCAGGCACTTGTCGGCCCCTTGCACTGTGGGCTATGCTGTTGTATCTCATAGCTCCCTAGCCAAGGTCTGGATGAAGACAGCTACAAAGACAGCGCTGCAACTTGGCAGAAGCTTGTGGATAAGCCTGCGCCCTGACCTTGGCGCCTGGTTGAACTTGCCAGGGAACTTGCATCCCTACACCCCTAATGCCCCTTGCATTCTGCAGCTTAAACCCTAAACCCTACATCCCTAAAGCCTTGTGAGGTCATTATAGCAAGCTTAAACCCTAAACCCCACATCCCTAAAGCGCTTGTGGAGCCACCAGGAATGAGGAAGCTTCAACCCTTGAGCCCTACATCCCTAAAGCCCTTGTGAGGCCATTATGCAGCTTCTGCGAGACAATCTCACCCTTTGGACCTCCGACATGCAAAACCCTCACAAGGAGCCCTGCGGGTTCAAAGCCGATGGGCCTCAGGGTTTAAATTTAAACAGCTACCCCTAATATGGTATATGATAACATCCGCAGTACATATATATATATAGTACATTAGTATAGTACATGTTAAAGGGCCTTAGCTGTTTCGGGTTTGACTGTGTTTCTCAGGGTCTACGGCTCGCGGCTTTAGGCTGTGAGGGTGGAGGTTCAGGGGTTTTGGGCTCACAATTAGGGTTTAGGGTTGAGGGCCTAGGGTTTATATAGGGCTTTGGGTTTAGGGTTTCATGGCTGTTCGACATTCGCGTTGAGGGTTCAAGGCTGCTGATGGCTAAACGGGGTGTTCTCCAAGTTAGAGTACCTGTTGGGAGTCTTTGTCAACCTGGAACCCACAAGGGGGTCGGACTCAGAGAACCACCTCGAATTTCGAGGAGATTTCAACCCAATGTCACTCCTAAGTCCTAATATACTATTTATGTATTCGGTTAGTGTTGATTTACCTACCTACATGCACATGCACACACACACACACACACACACACTCTCTCCCTCTCTCTCTCTCTCTCTCTCTCTCTCTAAAGAGACCCTCCGCAAGCAGCCGTTCGGATTCAGGAGTTTGGATGATCTTTTGGATTTTGAGCATGAAGGCTTTCAAGCCGGTCGGATAAGCTTCAGGGTTTGAGGGGTTTTTGAGGGTTCTTGGATTAACTATTCAGGGAACTGTGCTTCGAGAATTTGAGTTCGCTGTCACACCTTCGAGCTTCGGTTTTGGAGCGCAGGCCTGAAGAATTCGGGGCTTCATCTGTGTGCAACCACAGAAAACGAGTAGAGCCACAACTTACGCTTCTGTGCTTTGGGATTTTGCGCGCCAGGAAGGTGATGGAACAACCGTCGAAGACTTCTATTGAGGAGTTGCGCAAGTGCGAATTCATGCCTCGCAGAGGCACACCAGCACACCAGCACAAACTGTCGAGTTTTCGAGAAGTGCGACCGTTAGCTCGACAATTCGGACTCATCAGCCTAACCCTGCACCAGCATGGAGCGCCGAACGGCCCTTAGGCTATAATGATTATAATCTGGCGCTCGACAAAATTCAGGGTTTCTGCGGATCGCTTGCAGATTTGGTTAAGGCAACAACGTCTGTTTCACCACGATGCGTGGCCTCTGCACAGGGCGCTTACGTGTTTCACACCTCACCGGTAGCAGAGATGCGCAAGAAGCAAACTACTAGCACTAGTACTACTGGTACTAGCCGCCAGCTTGCTCCTGTGACCCCTTTAACTTCGTGTAATCACAGGGGCAGCTGGCCAGCGACTAGGGCTATTTTAGAGAACAGGCGGACTACTTCTACTACTGCTGCTGCTGCTACTACTACTCTACTCCTGCTGCTGCTACTACTACTACTGCTACTACTGCCACCTACTACTACTACTACTACTACTACTACTACTACTACTACTACGACTACTACCACTACCACTACCACTACCACTACTACTACTACTACTACTACTACTACCACAACTACTACTACGACTACGACTAC